AGTATAAGCTATGGTACACGGTGCATTTTCCAGACAAAATTACAAGAGCAAGCTGAAGTTTTATTGGAAGTCAGGAATGTAAAAAGACAAAAATACAAAAAGACCTTGAATTAACTGGCCACCACCATTAAATTTGTGTTGCCAACAGTAAACCTATACCATGTGATTTTTTTTTTAATGAATTTTTTATTCTCTAAGTTTATCAGGACAAAAAAATCCCCTGGTTTTGTACTACAGCTGCCCTAGAAACATGAATTAAAATGATGAAAATGTGCCAGAGTGCCATACAGTCTTATATAATTCTATTTGAACACAGTCATGATGTGGCTTTACTCTCCTTTTCTTGCTTAAAACTTGCCTATGTCCCTCTTAAGGAGGAAAAAGGTATTTTGGCATTCAGTGACAACATGCCAAGTACATCAGAACCAAGCGGGTGTTTTGGACAGAACATGAGGTGAGTGATCTGTCATCCAGACATTTAGCAATGAAACACGAAGACAGAGTTTGCTTCATCATTCCCAGAACAGAAAGACATTGTGTGAGGGATCACAATATCATGTGATATCAGCCTTTCGAAATGACTGGCTCTTCCCTTCCATTAAAATGCTTTATTCCTTGTGTGTGATTCCCTTTAAGCCCTAAACATGAATTCACTACCAGCTAGAACATTTCAAATTACAATGTCCCAATATGATTGAGTCGAGGACCTGAAGGAACAATGATATACCATGCAAACACGAGAGAACTTAACAAACCTGAAGCCTCATTTAGCAGCATTATAGCAAATCTGTCCATGAAAAACTGACATTTTAACATTTCTTTCTCTGGCTCAAGACAGTATTTTGTGGCATATCCTATATGTAACAGCTTTTGCAAAGCAACTGTTACAAAATTATTTTGTTTGGTCAAACTTTGTACTAGAAACTTTGCACCAATGTTAAGTTCACCATACAAAAATGGCGGAGATCCTATGCCAGATGGCTTTTGACTGGGTGATCCAAAACATATTCTGGAGGCATGTATGCCCTGCAAACATAATGAATTCCTGAAAGAATTTTAAATAAAAATACAAATCTGTATACAATGATACTTGTAGTGCATAGCCAAGCAAATAAATCTTGTATCACTCAGGTTTATAAACAAGATTAAAAAAAAATAATAATTTATCTCTCCCACATTCCTTGTGGTTTCCATAAGGTCAATGCGAACAAGCCAAAATGTGAAAGTAAAAGAGAAAGAGAGCCTTTGGTTGGTTGTAATGCTACGAGGCTTTTGCATCATTACGAGTGTACCTCTATTTACAGAACATATGCAAACTCACACTGATTTAATATGTATGGTCCACATAAAACACTATATTAAAGTTACTGAGCTACCTAGTAGAACACTTGAAATCTGCTCTATGTCAGAAGTAAATGTGCCTGTGCCACTTTAACTCAATCCCCTTCATGCATAGGCATTATAACATACTTCTTAATCACAGGATTGTTTAACATTTTTTTCACAGGATTCCTGCCTCATCCACTAAGCAGAATTAAAAATTATTACCTACAAGTTATTTTAACAGCATTGCCTTGTATGTTCTTGTTTAATACAGTTTTCAACCTCTGCTGGCCTACCACATTTCACTTTGTAAATAAAAAAAAAAAGTACAGTAAAACTGCTGTCTTGATGCCACTGCCTGGGTGGATCTGATTTAAAGCACTGAACCCATCAAGAGTTCATTTCCTCTTTTGTTGTTTTTGGGGGAAGGATTGGTTTGGTGGTGGCAGAGGTTTGCTGACTTGGTATTGTTTTGTAGCAAGGCAGTTTTTTTGGCAGTAAACGTAGGGGATTGCATACCATGAAAACTAGCACTCTACAATGTGAAAGCTCAAATATTAAAAGATTTATTTCCAGTGTTTGTTAATTTAACTCTCTCAGCTTGTCTTAGCTATTTAATTTCTATGGGTTTTTTGGGGGGTTTGGGGGTTTTGTATGGTTTTTGTTGGTTTTTTTTTTAATTGTGCTTACATTACTAAGTGGTGCATTATTTATGTGCTGTTGGTTCAGCTTGTATCTGTGGATACAACATCTCTATATACTAATGGGTAGAAATGTGACAGTGCTTATGATTTTTCAACAGACGTTAAAGGGACAGTGACTATTAGTAATAGTGGATGCCAATTCTACCAGCAGTCATTACACCATAATATTTTAAATAATGTATTTGTTTCAAATAGTCAACAACAAAGCCTATGCCAGCAATGTAACTATTTGTAATGCTTACACAGTCTAAGGCATTTGCAAACAAGGAAATTAAGAACCTAAATATGCTATGCAACCTACGTAGATCACATAAGACAGTAGCAACATAAAAGCTAATGAGCATTTTACCAATGATTACATTGAAATCAAAGTCTACAAATATCGAGAAAATATATTTCATTACTATCTACAATAACCTTACTTTTTTTTTTTTTACTTTTTTATGCAATTGTTAACTGTTCTCTTTAATGGAAGGCTTCCAGCAATAATTGTTACTAGTTAAAGCAATAATATTTTGTTGAAGTAGTGATAAAGGCACAGTTCAATAGGACAGTAGCACATTTATGGTATATTTCTTATGTGTAATCTAGTGTTCATTTCAAATGAATCAGTGCAAGTCCCAGTTTTTCAATACCTTTGAAAACCTTTGAAAAGCACTTAGTTTCTATTTAGTCACCTAACTCCATCTTAAAAGCCTGTCATGTTCCTAGTCTGAACTCCAGTGAGGATGACTCCCTTGAGCAAACTCACAGTCTCAATTTTGACTTTCTCACACCGACTTCCGAGCCCCACACATAACACACCGAGACACACCTAAAGTCACGTGACTGAAGCCAGAAACTAAAAACTATTTCCAAAGATAGTCAAACTTGATAACATTTAACCCAGCACATTGCCTCAGATGACATGCTGTCCTCTGGCTAGCCATTAATCACAAATCACTCAATACTATGACCAAAAGTAACATCTAATGAGTAAAGTAACCTTGACACTGCACTAGAACGGGCTTCTAAATACCAGTGTTTCCCACTATTCTGAACCGGACACATATTGCAAACTCCAGTAATCTAACTTAGCAACTCTTAACATAAGATAAGCAGAACAACTTTTTTCCCAAAACGGTGATTTTGCAGAGCAGGTCTATGTAATCTAATAATGGGCTACTTTAAAGTGTGAAATTAAACTGTGTTACTGTAACTCTCAGCAGTAGAAAGAACTCACCTGCAGCTGATTTAAAAAAAAAAACAAAACCCAATGCTACATAATCTGACTCTGCCCTAGAGAGGGCAGGATTCACCTCTTCTGAGAGAGTGCTCAAAATGATGCAGTCTTCAGGCATTGTTGGAACACCTTTATCAGAAGGCTACAGGCCAGCAGCTTTTAATCCCTAGCAGTCAGATTTTTCTATCAAACATCGGGTGCCTGTTGTGAAAGACTTGGCCTGTGACTTGCAAGTGACTGTTCATGTTAAAGGCATGGCATGAGAAACACAAGTTGTTAACAAGAAATCCAACTTTGGGATCTGCAAGTTATTGACGAAGAATTTATTTATGAGTCAGACTGTGCATCTGACATGAGTAAAAGCTGTAAATGTAGCTAGCTGTCCTGTGCTTTAAAAGCACTTTGTAGCATCAATCTACACAATTACTCATATACTAAGAACCGCTCAGATACGGTGAAATATCAATACACAATACTGCAGCAAATCACAAAAACCTGTATGTGGGCCAAAAGAGCTTGTTTGTGAGAATGATTCCAACGCATGTCAAATTACTATCTTACCTGCTGCAGATGACAGAGGGGCTGATAATAGGCTCTGACAGGCTAGGTGCACTCTGAGTAGAAGTTAAGACTTTGTGTGGCTTTAAGCCTTGCTTGGTGTCAGTATCTGTAGAGTCTGGAAATGACACGGAAGATGTTTTTCCGGTAGGACTTGTGGCAGGTGTCCCCTGAATCGGTGAATGGCATGGGGAGGTAAGAGGTGAAATATTTGGTGGGATACCTGGCAAGAGAAAAGAAGAGTCTTGTCAATTAACAGAAGTGGCAGATGGTTGTATGAGTTCACTGTGCAGAAATACTCCTCTTGAGATGCACAGGTACCAGCATAGCTTCCAAACGGAAAGAGAAAACCCTCCTCCACTCTGAGCCAAGCCCACTGCTATCACAGAGAGATGAAGCTCCATTAATATCAGCCACTTCTACCTGCTGAAGATCTGGCTCAAAATACGAAGCATATTCTCCCTGTTGAGTAGGATGTGCTAACTGGCAGGCATGAAATGAAAGGCATGTGTTAGTAGCATGACTATTGGTATCAACAAGTTCTAGCGACAGAGGCACCAAACTCCAAACAGGCAGTTCCCAGACCCATCTGCAATTTCTCATGGCTTCACTGTCTCCATCTGTAAAGCAGGGACAAGAAAGGCTTACACACATTCCCAGCAAATTTGAATTTCTACACGTGAAGACTACCAATAAACCAAAAAAGCAATATTTAGTAATCATACAGTATATGAATATAAAATATTGCACTTATGGTGCCATTTCCACATTCCTCACAGATTTTGGCCTTGATCTTGTGCAGCTTGAGTTTATTTTTCAGTATCTGTTGCTCACTGTGGGAGACTTGCGACCATTACCTGTACCACATGGTATTGTACTCCCAAGCTAGTGTATCAGTAACTGCCAACATCCACATGTGCAAACACTAGCAAGATGTAGTTCTCTCTGTCCCCTATTCTATCTAAGCACCACTGCCAAGACGAAATGCATCAGCCAGTCCAGTGTTTGAGACAAAGTGCTGCCTTCTCTTCGAATCCTCAGACAAAAAGGGCCCATTCACAATAAAGTGCAGGGGAGCAAAGATAATCTACGTTAAAAGGAAATGCGTGTGAATTGCCTCAGCCTCCTGAGCTTTGTTCTAAAGTTTGTAGGAACTCAGCCCTAGTTCATTTACCATGTTCATCTTCAAAGCCAAATGACATAAAGAGCTTGGGAACTTTAACTGGTTTTATGTCTGAATTGTGCCCGCTATCTAAATGCATTCCAGACACAAAAATTATCTTAGAATAAGGCAATATGTTGATCTAAGTTTATGAAATACTAACCTTGCAGGATATATGTGTACAGTTCCAGTGTTTTTTTCCTGGTAACAACTTATTGTGATATGAGGTTAAAATATGATTTACTGCTGACAACCCAAGAGTTAAAAATAATCTCTGACAGTTACTACACTGCAATTTTGAGATATCCAACATCTCCTAAGTTTTGATTAGGGTATTTCTTCAGCAAACATGTGGTATGTATTACTGTCTAAATTTAATGATTGCAACTAGGATATTACACTAGTTTTGAGATCAGAAACCTACAGCCTACAGAGCAATTAAAAAGTTATCAGATGGCCATGACATATGGAAATTGCTTTAAAATACAGAAAGCCTCTGTTTCACATTTACTAATCCTTTGAGATATCTGCTTTCCACCCAACAAAAATATGTCTTTAAAAACATTTCACAGTCTGTTAGTTGCACAGGGGATTGAGTTGGATTATTATCTATCTTTGAGCTATATATTACCAGGTAACCTTCATGACTGTTAGAGAAGACAGTATATACGGTCATCTTTCAACAATTTAAAGCAAGTCCTGGGAATTTAAACAGCAATTTTCACAATAATGTTTCTAATCACAGCTGGCTTTCTACTGCTAGTCTGGTCTCCTGTCTCTTGAAATATGTTTGGTTGTGGTTTTTTTTGAAAGAGTAATTTGCTAGGGTAGGTAACCAAAAATAAATAAATTTACCAGAAAAATGCAAACCTACTTTCAATAATCCAACATTTAACCATTTATTGGCAAAAGTGAGAGACAATGTGTCTTCCTACAGCAAGGAATTTTGAACAATCAACATAAGAGATGATGGAACAATACAGGGAGAACTTTATTAAGTACATCCATCTGCTTAGGTCCTCCAGAACTTTTACACATGTGCAGCGTTGAAGAAATAAAACAATAACTTCAATGTGATGTGAAATTACACATGAAAACACTTGAGTTTACCTCAGAATTTTGCCAGACAGGTATAGCTATCAGTATTTTAAAATGCTAATGTTTTCATGCATAATTAAAGGCACATTTTGTAAATTAACAGATTTACAGATTTATCTAGGTCAACTTCTACCAAGAATTATTATAGACTGCCAATGGAGCTAATATATAAAAGTCTAATTTGTATTAACTAGTGCAAATTGAAGCAATTCTTCAGTTGGAACACAAAAACAAATTATAATCAAAAGTGCATGACTGCAAACAGTCTAAAACATCAAAATATCAGTCTTCCGCATAAAATGCTGAGCCAAAATTTTTACTCCTGTGAGTCAGTGCCCCTAGGAATTGCTTGTGATGGAACGGAGCTCTCCCTTCATCACTGGGGAGCTCGTGTCATTGGGCAACAGAGATGGCTACTAACACTTTCTGGAAGCAGAAGAGACTAAATGTAAAACTGACTGATGGGGTTGGCAAGTCTCATTTTCCATGTATAAAATATTACATCCCCCCC